CAACACATCAGGAAGATTTTCAACTCGGTGACGCATTGAAACACCATCCAATTGAGGAGGGGGACTACTTAATTCAACCTGACCCTTTAAGAAATTACTCTGATCAAATCCAAAAATGATGTGATTCAGGTAAAAACTGACGATGATAATAAAAAAAACATGGTTTTCAACCATTTTGAAGATAAAAAGATCGTGTCATCTCCATATAGTAAGGACATGACAATTAGTCATAAGTGCTCCAACCAGACACCATACCATAACCTGGAAAATCAGTTATGGTCCACATCAACATAGCCCACATTATGAAGTTTTGCTTGTGATAACTATCATATGTTTCTACACCATTCGACCATAACATTTTCAAGTCTTCAATTAAAGGTTGAAGGAAAACATCAGTATTTCTACCTCGGCTTTTTGGACGTGCAATGACCAATGTAAGAAAAGTAAACTCTAGTCGCATGTACATCTCTAGCGGCAAATTATAAACAATCAAAAAAACTAGCCAACAAAAGTAGGAGGTTGAAGAATGAGCTCATGGGTTGAAACCATCAGTAGCAAGACTTAATCGAACATTACGAGTTAATCGAACATTACGAGGTTCTCTTTTAAAAGAAGGATGCATTTGATCAAAATGTCTCCATGCTTCTAGTTGTGCTGGATGAATGACTTCATTTGTATCACCACAACATTTCAAATTCCATGTCATATGCTCAGCTATTTTTCAAGACATGTATAGCCTCTGAAGGTGAGGTATTATTGGCAAGTACCAAAGAGAATTCCTTGGAATGTCCTTTTGTCTTGTTCTCCCTGGATTTTTCTATTTATACCTGGCTTCTCCACAAATTGGACATGTAGTCAATGTTTTTGTATGCTCTCCATAATATAAAAAGCAGTTGTTAACACAAGCATCAATTTTTACATAACCTAACCCAAGCCCTTTCATATATTTTTTTACTTCATAAAAGTTTGTAGGAATTTTCTCTTGATCTTTAGCACTTAACAACCTTCTACATCCTTTGAGAATGGCATTAAAACCATTAGCAGTTATATTATTTGCAATCTTTGTATGCAACATATAAGAGAGCCAGCTGAGCACTATCTCATTTCTTTTAGAACTACCAAGTGGAATTGTAGATGCATGAAGCAAGTCATAAAATGCCTTTGTTTGATTGTTTGGTTCCTCGTCCAGATGTTGATTGGGGAAATTACCTTCTATTTCCCAACTATCATCATCCTCTCGACAAAATGCATCATACACTATTTCACGAAAGTCATTCCTTTCATCATGATATGTATCTTGGCTATGTGATGATTCTCCCAGATTAGTAGCAGACCATGGATCTGCTGAATTCACAAATGTCTCACCCTACGCCCACCAAACAGAATAAGCATTCATAAAACCATACTTAATAAGATGTTCCTATACCATTCCCCGAGTCATCAACGATAAATTAAAGCATTTAATATAAGGACATTTGATTAAATCATTTGGTTGAAGACCAAGGCTATTGTATGCAAATTGAAGGAAATATTCAACTCCATTATAGAACTCATTATATATCTCTCCTCGTGGAGTTTGATGTCTATACATCCAATTACGATCCTTCATAATCTTATTAAATCAATAAAATAAAAACAATAACATGATTAGGTTCAAAATAATTATAATATATTTCACACATTTTATAGTTGGGTTAAAATCTTGATTTATCATACATATATATATAAATATGTTAAATTTATTCATCACCAAAATTTATCATACACAAATTATTGATTTTTTATTTAATAAAAAAATTAATATTTAACCATGCAATTAGAAAAATATAGTGAAAATGAAACTTACTATGTAATTATTGAGAATCCATAAGAGCTCAAGTATTAACCTACAAAATAATTATTAAAATATTAATTCATATATATTTTCAATAAAAAATTTCTTTATAAATGCCATTAAATTATAAAAATTACATTTAAAATTAACATAACACAACTTAAAACAGATACAACAATAAAATAAGATTAATTCTTAAATTGCTAAAAAGTAAGGTTGAAATATCAAATTTAGTCCCTAATATTTTAGATTTATACCAAAATTATCCTTAAACTTTAAAAATACCGAAACTATCCAACTTTAAAAATACCGAAACTATCCATAAACTTTAGTATTTAATACCAAAATAGTCTTTATCTTAACGAAAAGTGTTACTTGATTCATTAGTTTGCCACAAAATCAATTTCTTTTTCAAAAATTAATAACATAAAATCAAACAATTATATTTTACTATCATGATATATTTATCTAATTGTATTTATAAAGCTGAATAATTAAGTTGGTACTTATAATCAAAGTTTTAAGGTCTAAGTTTTCAAATTTTAAGGACTAAATTAGTACTAAATAAAAGTTTAGGGATTATTTTGAATCCAAAAATTAAAGTTTAAGGACATTTTTACTTTTAAAGTTTTAGCATAGTTTTGACCTAAATCAGAAAGTTGAGGGACTAACATGGTTATTTAATCAACAAATTTAGGTCCTTCAACTTTAAAGTTTACATAATTTTCCTCCCTTAACTTTTTTATATATTTTTTTAATTTTCAACTGTGAAAAATACATTGTTTTATAGTTAAGATATAAAAAATGCAAAAAACAGTAAGACATGAAAATTGCGTAAAAATTTCAAAGTGCACAAAAAATCATATTGAGCCTAAAATATACTTAAAACAACAAATCAATTTGAAAATGCAAGCTAATATCAAATGCTTAATATAAAAATTTCGTCATTAATGGTTGAAATTTCATTAAAATTTTATTAAAACATTATTCATAACTATTCATCAAGTTTATTAAAAAAAATCTAACAATATTAACTAATATCCAATGAACTAATTAATGACAATATTTGATGGTTTAAATTTTCGAAAAGATAAAACAAACATAAAATATATAAAAAATAATAATATTACTTAAGTTTCACTTACCACTGCTTGACCTACTACACTATAAGAAGAAAAATGTTCAGCGATTTGAGGAAAGGAGAGGAAGAACAACTTGTGGACAGAAGAGGAAAACGAAAATGAAAGGAGGAAGACCAAAATGAAAGAGGAAGGGGGTTCGACAGGCAATAGGGACCCTTACTAACGAGATCCACATTGCTAACATTAAAAGCTGATCATCTTTGCATTGCTTTAGAATTCTCGTTGATCGAGACAATCACCGACTAAACTATGCTTGGAAAATATATCTTATTAACGGAAATCTTGTTGGTAATATAAATAAAAAGCTACAAAACCAAGCGCTAGTAGCCGAATTCGCGAGGAGTTGGAAATTGGGAAATTACCGACAAGAGTAACGTCAGAATATTGGCTCAAAAAGCTGGAGTCCCAGCTGCAGGCAGCCGAAGTCACAAGGTTGGGTTGGGGAGTGGGAAATTATCGACAAGAAGAAAGTTGGTAACTTTATCGAGAAAATTCACGTTTCCAATAATGAAGTTACAGGCCTCCTCTTCGTCGGTAATTTGGGTTTTGGTCCACTGGTGCCGGACTGAATATTGGTTGATATTACCAACAAGGAACATGTAGGTATTTTATTAATTTACCAACAAATATTTTGTCTGAACCATAAATAATATATTTTACTACTATTTTTACTGTTTCTTGATTTGCAGACATGTTTCTTGTCGGTAAAGTGCTACTTTACCGAGAAAGGTTCTCACGTCAGCAAGTTTTGGTCGATGAAGTTGTGTTTTCTAGTAGTGATTGTATTTTTCAGCTTTTAAATAAATTTCTAAAATAACTAGTCAACAAAACATATTACACAAGTAGGGGTGTTTATATCCAACCAATCCAATTGATCCGATCCAAATTAATCCAATCTAATAAAAAATAAAACAAAATCAAACTAATGCAAAATTGGGTTGGTTTGAATTATAAAATGTTAAAATTTTAAAACTAATATAATTAGTTTGGTTTGTAGTTTTATTTTCAAACCGTTTGAACCACCCGATTACAAAATAAAACTTGATTACAAGATAATTTAATTAAATAACATGATATATTTTTCATAGTATTTTAAAATTTCTTTTTTTTTTATTTTACAAGATAATAACTCTATTAACTTAATTAAAAAATAAAAAAAAATTTCTCATATTCCCTAATTTATTTTTCTTTCTTAATCATGCACTGTAACCGTAATTCTAAATTCCTAATTCACATGCAATTCTATTCCTCAAAATTGGTGTGCGACTTTACTTTTAGAACCCTAAATTTTTAATTTGTTCCTAAAATGATATTTTGATTCTCCTAGCTAAGTTTTAAAGAAGTATTATTTTAGAAGTTTTAAAACTATGTAATAGAACTAGTTTTGATATTCAACTATTCTTGGATATTTGGTTGAAGAGTTTTAAATCTTAATTATGAATACTTCTAATCAATTCTAGTGCTATTCGTATTAAATTTTATTTGCTTTTAATAGGGTTTAGAAGATAGGATTGAATCATATGGTGCATTAAGCAAAAAAGAAACTAATTTTGACATCTAAGAATTACTTACACTGTGTTTGAAACTTGGAGCCACTTTTATTGTCCTCAATGCCTCTAGTGATGTAATCAAGAAGAATTTTTAGATCTTTTCAATCTTTACAATTATGAAGGAGTATCAAAACTTGTTTATAATTTGTGCCTTTGATATGTTTCTATTGATTTGGATATTAATAAGTTTAATAATTATGTTTTCTATTTAATGTTAAAATTTTTTACATTATCTCATATATTTAATAGTATTAAAAACCAATTAATCCGACTGACTATACTAATCCGATTTAAGTTTGATTGATTGGTTATTATATAATAGTGAATTGAATTGGTTTAAAAATTTTACTAACCAATTAAATTGGATTGGTTTAAAAAATATTAAAATCTAAATCAAACCACACTGTGAACACCCCTAGCCGCAACTAAGGTTGAGGTTACTTTTGTGAATTTTACAAGTAGTGTTATAACATAACTCAAGGGTAATATTTCTTACCCTTGAGTTCAAGTTAAAGGGAAACGTGGACTTAAATACAGTATAACCATCTATCAAACTACACTCACCATTGGATCAGTCCAGAAAAATAATCCTAATACACTTCCCTCATCTAAAGAACCCTCAATCCTGTTATATTGGTTGCTGTCATGAAATTTAAGCAAACTTGTTCTATTGCAAACAACTCAGCCCAAATTAATTGATTCAGCCCTCTACAAACTATCCTCCTATAACTCTTCTACTCAAAATCCCTTATCTTCCCAACCTTAACCGTCACACACCAGTTTGGCAGATTTGTCAAACCTATCCAGTTACATTTTTGGCCTCTACACCTATATACTTCTTTTTCTTTTGGGGTGAAGGAAACATAGGTATCTAGGCCTCTCCAACTATGTTGAATATTGGTTTCAAAGTCGAACTTCTTTACATCAATTTCATCGTAGTAGTGGTGTAAAGAGGCTATTGAAACTTCCTTAAATTATATAATTTTCATCTATCATTCATGACTACAAGTTATCCTTTGAGTTTTGAGCACCATTGTTATAACAGAACAAAATCAGAGCAATAAATTTACAATAAAAACATTGGCTAGATTCAAATCATTCACTAAGTTCAGGCTTACCTCAGAGGATTTGCCAAAATCCGTTGACCTATAGTTACAAAACTAGTCTCTTGATTGGACATGAACCAAGCTAGTGAAGAAACACTGTAGATAGATTGAAAGGAATAAAGAATATATTAATCCAACTGTAGTATTCTGAGGTAATGCATCTTTCTATTTTCACAAGCTTGACACCAGCAATTACATGTGATAAAAATCCAATTGAATTCGCAAAATTGTGTGCTTGGCTTACCTTCCAGTAAAAATATGCCCCCTTAGGCCCAATATTGTTGGTTTCCTATCATTGGGACGATGTTTTATGAATTCCTCCAGAACATTTCTCACTTTGTAGGTCTCTTCAAAGTGATTCCTGAAACCAAACATAATGAAAAACACTCAATAATTCTGTAATGCATCTTCAAAGAATATATGATGAAAAGCTATACCTGATTCATGTCTATGGTTTGCAGTGCTTCTCCACGAGTAAAAATAATTGCATGATTTTGATTTTCAGGTTTCCCTTCACCAATTTCTGTTGGAGGGCCTGGGAGCTTGATGCGGTATATTTCTTGGCAACATCACAACGATCCAAATGAGAATATAAAAGCATATTGTAATAAGAAACAATAACAAAACAAGCAGAGAATTTTCATCAGTGATCAAATTTGGTAAATTTAATCTACAACATTTCTCCAGATGCAATCATCGCAATGAGGATGATGGCTGAGGCCCAGGCTCCAGCCTGTAAAAACAACTGAACATTTGCTCCAATCAAGGCACTGTTTCTCAACTCTGTAGTGGGAAGACTATGAAAAAACAATTTTATTTCTGCCAAAAACTGCTGATTAACCCAACTTTTCTGTTTTAAAATAACTAGAAATCATCTCTACTTGATAGACCCTTCATCTTAACCAATTGAAGTTGAATTCATGAAACCAAATCTTATCTCCAATTTATCCTATTAGGTCAAACGCTACGTTGTTCCCTTCATGTCATTTCCTTTTTTTCCTTGGTGGGATGTTTTTCATATTTTTCTCTGTTTTTTTTGCTTCCTTTTTTTTCTGCTCTGTTTTTTTGCGATCTTCTTTTTTTTGTGTTCTTTTTTCTTCTTTTTTTTTTGCTTGCTTTGGTTTTTTCTGTTTTGTTTTTGCTTGTCTTTTTATTGCTTGCGGGTGTGTGTTTTTTGTTTGTACGTGCTTATTGTTTATTTTATTTGATTTACTGCTTTTTGGTGTTCCTTTTATTTTTCTGTTTTCTTCATTCTTCCTTTTTCTGTTGTTTGTCCTTTTTTTTCTTTTCTTTTAGTATTTTATCCAAGTCTTATTTCTCTTGGTCTTCTTTTTATTCTTTTTGTTGTCCCGTTTTAGTTTTTTGAAGGCATATTTCTTTTCTCTTTTATGGCTTTTTGTCGGAATATTCAGCTCCTTTGGTTTACCTTTCTTCTTGCATTTGTTCCGTGTGAATTTTGCCTTTACTTTTTCTGGTCTTTTTTATCAGCTGATGTTTTTTGTCTTTCCCTGGGACTGTTTCCTGTCTTCTGTAATTTTTTTCCTGCCTTGTTGTGGCTGTCTTTATCCGTTTTCTTTGCTGTTTGCTTCGCTGTTTGCTGTGTTTCGTGTGTTTTCGCTCCTGGTTTGGGTGGATATCTTTCTAGTTTGCGTTTATTTAAAGAGACATTAGCAATTTCATCTGCATAGAGAAGTATGCAATGATGATGGAAAGTAACATGAACTTAAGTTATCATGAGTTTTAAAATATTAGTGTAACAACTATGATCTCGAGCATCAGCTGATTTTTTCTGAGTTCTGTAGACCTGACAAGAAACGACGTAGGTGAACTTCAAACTGGCCAGAGCTTCTGCACGATCCATGAAAGCCCTATGTTCCTGCTCACTTGGTTCCCAGGTACGATATCCACCAAAAATAGCTACCAGAAAACAGCATATACTTCATTATCCCACTTGCCACTCTACCACATCTTGAAGATGTTAGAACAAAACACAAGATATTGAAAGACAAACCATTATCTCCTGAAGATTCCAGAAAGCATTGAAGTTGTAAAGCCAGCCTGTGGTACATTATCCCTCTCACTTGAAGAAAAATAAAGATAGAATGGCATAGACTCAGTCAAAATTGATGGACAAGGCCAGAATAAGGTGATCTGTTTAATTACCATACCTGTTCTGGAGAGTGTTTGTGCTCTGTATGATACACACTTTCGAAGTTCCTCCTTTTCAGCTTTGACATCCTCGTTCTCTTTCAAACGTTCCTGGAACTTGGTCCATTCACCTATTTTGCAGGCACAGATGTTCAGTAGGTGTATGTTCACTTCAAACAACAAAAAGCATTATGTACCAAAATTGATATGTTTATCACAACAGATTAGTGCTCACCAGGATATATTTTCTGTAGGTAAAGCAAAATTGATATGCCATCCTCATTTTCCTTGTTGAGTTCTTCCTCAGAATAAAGAACATCTTCCTTGTAATACGGAGTCAAAATGCTAAATAATAAAATGAGGGAGCAGCATGAAGTGAGTACAAAGGACAACCATCTAGAAATAGTCTGCAGTAAGTTGGCTACCACCATTGGTGATACTTATTAGAGAAGCACATCCACTAACAAGAAGGAAAATTACAGCCAAAAGCAAATCATGAATGTAGTTTAAATATGTTAAATCTTTACATCTTGTCCAATTAGTGAAGCCACATGATCGTTCAATTGATTCTTTGGTAAAGAATATCATGAACTTCCAAGTACAATTGACCGCCCCTCAAACCCCCTAACCAAAAAAAAAAAAAAAAGGAAATCTTTGTCTGTAAGTTAACCTGCTATAGTTTTCCACAATGACTCACCTAAAAGAGAGCATGTAACGGACTTTTGGAGCACTTGGCATATTCATAAATAGGGAGTTTGCAAAGAAAGTAATGCGTCGCCAAGCCTTAAAATTTGTAGGCACATCTATGGCAGATTCTTTCTCTGTCAGAAGCAAATACAGCCTAACAACCTAAACAGAAATGTAGGATTGATTAAGAACATAAAATTTGAACATAATAGCTGATGTTGAGTTGGGAAGAAATCAGATGAGTCCATGTTCAACACTACCTTTTCCCTCCATGATTTGTTGAGTGTAATGCTAATATTTATCCTCTCAAATCCCTGCTCCTTCTTGCCATATTGAACATCTTCACTGTGCAAATGAGCTTCTTCAAAGATGCTACAGAGAAAAAAGGTAAATTCATGGTAGACATCAATTATGGTTCACTAAGCAGTAAAAATACAAAAAAAATTCAGGTGGATTTTTTTTTATCAGACTCATGGTCGTTGACTATAACATCGTTTGTGATAATTTCTATTGCATCTTGGAGAACATTGATTATCTGAGATTTGTATTGCTCGACATCTTCATTTTCAGTAAGTTGCCATCACCAGAGACAGATGTTTTAGCTTTTAGAAGTATAATACTCATAAAAGCTTTAAGTTTGAACTGCTTGCTTATCAACAATATTAATGAAAACAAAAAGAAAGGAGCTTTACCAAGACTTTAAGAAATTTCTCCAACTTATTACTAAGTGAAGGCAGCCCACTCATCCGAAATTCATTCAAAAAGTTCTTCTGCTGTATGCTAATTTCGACTTCATGACAAATCAACCTAACAATCCTATTTGCATGAGAAAAGGCAAACCACCATGAGAATATTCATTCAGATAAAAATAAAAAATAAAAAATAAAAAACCAACAAAAATGCAGTGTGCCGGTCAAAAGTTGAAATCCATAAAGTGAATGCTTCTGCCTTACATTCTATCTGCGTCATCTTCCAGAAGGCCATATATTATATCTCTGATGATAGTCTCATAACATTCTACAACTGCTGAATGCATATATGGGTCGGCCTTTATCTTCTTAAATAACTCTTCATCATCCTTCTTTTTAAAATCTTTTTCCATGTCTAGCGCGACAGGAATCTGCAGATGATATGTAAGTCATGAAATGACAATGATCAAACAATTAACATTGAAAACTATTAAAACTATTTACCTTGCTTGCAAGCAAAAAGGGGGCCACTGGACAACAGTGACATCGCTTGAAGCATATGACACAAGTAGCAAATCTCTTTCCCTGTTCAATAAAAAGACCAAAAAATATAAGAAACATCTAAGTTATGCAGTTGATATAAGAGGAATTATTTAGAACGAAGGATCCTAACCTATTGCTTATTAGATCCCCTTCTCGCATGGAATATATGAATTGATTCCACACTTGAAAAAAATTTGCGATATTCTTCCTTTCTTCTGAATCATCCTGCATAGTATAAAACTCATTTTTCAGATTAAAAAAAAAAGGCCAGAAATGCTGCTTATAAATTTTTGAAAAGGATTACTGAATATATAAATTGTTAACGTTTATTAAGAAATAAATTCCAAGTTAAAACAATAAAGCTATTCCAGATGATAAAAACCAAATGCACTATAATTGCAACAAACCAGGTAACTTCTTCTAGTCCAAGTCTTCTCTTCGGGATAACTTGCAAAGCCCTGAGGTGAATCCTCGGGATAGACACTCCAATGTTTAAGTCAATAATAGTCTGGTCTACATTTAAGAATTAAGGAAAAAAAAGCTTTAGGTCGGTTTCAATTACATTTTTGAGGTGACCCCTAGGGATATTTATAGGCTCTAATGAGGTATCCACATGCTTGTTTAGCAAAATAATAGGAATCTAACGTGTCCATCTAGGTGATTATCTCGGGGATAGAGAATCGGGTGCAGACGTGTCTACTGCAACTGTCATGCTACTTCACAACTGAGAAAAACTAAGCTTGCAGGCTAATTTAGTCATTAATGAAATATGGCAGGATGTCCGAGGTCCTTAACCTCGGATCTATCCTTACACTATTTCCTCCTTGAAGTCATTCACTTGTGAATGATGTAGTCGGAGATAGTAAAGGTAGTGTTTTACTTAAAAATGTATGATGAAGTGTGATAAAATGTTAATGACTCAATTAATGAGAGAAACATGTTATGGAGCAATGTTATTGCTGACCTGCAATCATTATG